AGCAGCTAAAAACAGTCTGGAAATGGAGCCGGGACAGCAGGGCACACCAGGAAGAAGATGGGATGAAAAATAGCAGGTGAGGAAGAGGATTAGAGAGGCTTATGGCTTCAGCCCTCCCCATCCCTCCCTGTGCAGGAAAGCCTCTGATTATCTTCTTTTTTTTTTTTCTTTTTTAAGGAATAAAGAGCTCTTTTGGTTTAGGGAAGAGTCTGTCTGCTGGGTATAAGCTACCCAGAAGGCCGTGAGCAGGTTGTGCCCTGCCAGCAACTTCCTGTTGGATTTTCTCTCCCAGCTGGAAATATCCCACTACATTCACAGCCAGCAGGCTGGGGTCAGAACTTTTTCTGCTAGGAGGAAATCTCTCCTGCAGGGAGTTAAGGATGATTTTTTTTTTCCCCAGCTCTCCTGGCCCTGATCTCCTCTTTGTGCCCTCTCACTGCTCCCAGTGTGGATTTCCCCTCTTCCCTGTGTCCCAAACCCTCTCTGGATACCAAGGCTAGCAGAGTAGACAAATCCTCCCAATTAAAAGGAAGATCCTGGGGAAATCCATATAAGCATGGGGATCTCTGGTGACCTTCAAACAGCAATCCAGGCTCTCCATAGCAGCAGGGCTGCAATATCTGGATTTGAACTCAGTCCTGGTTACAGTAGCAGCTTCCAAGTAAACAGAGTTACCAGGAAACACCAAATTCCTTCTGTGAGAAGGAAACTGAACAGCTCTGGACAAAGGGAAAGTTAAAAATGTGCCACAGGGAGGAGGATGAAGCTCCTCTGTGGACCTGTTGTCCGTCCTTTTTGTTTAAAGGTTAATCCTGGGTGTTTGATGGATAATTCCTACCCTAAATAACCAGGATGTGCTGGTAGCAGCAGGAAGCGCCCGGGATCTCAAAGTTGGCTCTGAAGAGGGGGAAAAACAACACCCAACACACACCCTGTATCCAGCCTCCATTTGTGCTTCAAAAGAGGAAGCAGTGCCTGTGGCTCTAACATGGCTCCACATGGATGTGGCTGTCCTGCTGCGGTGCCAGAAGGCAGAGCAGTGACAACAGGGACCCCTGGGGACACCCACGGGGCAGGTATATCCCCTGCTGCACTGACACCAGCTCTCCTTTCCTCTCTTCCCTGCCTGCAGAGCCCTGTGGGCACAAGCTGATCCCCAGATCATGTTTTCCCTCCTGCAAGTTTTACAGCAGGAGGAATCAAATGTGCAGAGGCAGGTGCTACCTGGATTACACCTGGAGAGTCA